GGCCTTCTGCGCGGCGGCACGTGCCCGGCTGTCAGCGCCGGGTGGCCGGGGGTACGGGCCGCGGTTTGCCCGCACTGCTAGTCTCTACCTGACTAACGCTGGCTATACTGAGAATACTTGCCAGGGGAGTTTGGCGGCCTTGAGGTTTGACTAACCATTGAACCTTCCGCGGCCGGACTCCCTTGGCCAATTTTACTGTCCTTTTTGCCGAATGCTACGATCCGTATTCCCGCAGAAAGGCCTGGTGGAGGCTATATGTATATACTAGTATACCACACGGCCGCGAGCTCAGGCCAAGGCAGGCTCTGCCAGACTAACTACGCCGGCTACGGGGAGGATATTTGCCAGGGGAGTTTGGCCACCGTAGAGTTCACGTCACCTGGACTCTACCAGGCTTCGGGAGGCGGCTGGAAAGAGCAGAAATTCGCCAAATAGAGAGAGAGATAACATGCCAGTTGAGTTGGTCCGCTAAAGACTACAGTTTGCCGCACAACTACTAGTATGCCGTGTGTCGTATACTATCTGGTAGAGGCCACATGTTGCCCTTGCCATGGCTTACTGCCCTGTCCATTATTATTGACCCTATCTTTGCATCCATAGTAACATAACCCACTTCAGAAGAGCTAGTTTCGCGCGTCTTTTTCCGTGCGTTTCGTCCCAGGTGCGCGTTTTTCTCCGTTCGCTTCACTAAAAAAACGCCAAATAAACAAACAAACAAACAGCAAAAGCCGTGTCCACACATCTGCTTGTCTCCACCCTTATCGTGAGTTTGGTTCACTGGGGACGTGCGGAGTTCTGTTCGTCATTACTTCTCGGAAGTACCCCTACCCCCCCCCCCCCCGCCGGTGTTGATAGAGCGATGGTACAGTCCGATGTGACAGCTGGGGGGGGGGGGCAGCAACAGGTGACCTTGAGGAGACAGGGGAAGGTCATTTCTCCCGATCCACCCGGAAGTCACCTGTAACAAAGTTACGACTCTCCGAAGACACCTCCGGAAGTCGCACCGGGGCAGCTTCCGCGAACTCCGCACGGAGTCCCGACTTCCCAGAGATCTTCAGAGTCCCCGAGGAGGCGACTTCAAGACTCGGTAAACTTAAATGTACGAAGGTTCCGCGTCCTGTGACTCCTGTAGATCTTCAAGAAGCTCACCTGAGGTTGTATTTCATAATAAGGAAGTTGTTTTCTTGCCCTCTGCGTTAATATCAGACAGAGTCCCCTTGGAGGCGACTTTAACTTAGTTTAAGACTCGGTAAACTTTAAGGCATCCAATGTGATTTCAGGGCAGCAAAACTGGAAATATTCTGGATAAGGCAATCTTTGTGATATTGACACATACTGCCTCACATTAGCACATTTCAATCATTATTTCATACTTTGGGTATTAAAACTGCAGAAACAAGCCCCAAGATGAGACCTTTATACTATGGGAGGTACCCCAAAAATCAGCCAAGGGCCCTTCCATGCAGTAACCATTTTCCGTCAGAATTTTGGGTATTTTTCCTCCATGAGGGTCAATATACATTGGGATACATAGTGTAGTTTCAACTCAGTATGTAGATAAGTGACTAAAATATTGACTTTGAAAAATCGGGTTTCCAAGCCATAAAAACTGCCCTGGATGCGAAGGTTCGCGTCCCGTGACTCCTGTTGAACTCTAAGAAGCTCACCTGAGGCTGTATTTTATAGTATTAAAGGAAGTTGTTCTCCGTGACCTCTGCGCGGTTCTGTCTTCCATCTCTCCCGCTGATGTCAGATGAAACAGCAGATAATCAAATCTCAGGAGGAAGGGTGGAAACAACAGAACTCAGAAGGAAAAAATCGGAAATAAACATGAATAGATGTTAACTGTGTATGGTTTTGTAAATGTTTCACATTTGAGATAAACGATATGTTACGCGGAGTGTAAGAAGTTATAGTGTTACTGTGATCTATACTCAGGAGGAAATTCTCTGTAATAAGAACAAAATTCGGTTGCCCGCAAGATCCTTACTGAATACGGATTTGACTTGATAAACCTCAGGCATCACCATAGCAAATCTTATCTGTACTTAAGTCTACTACTACTAACCGAGAAGCAGCCAAACCTTTACTTAAACTCAGTTTAGAGTTACAGATATTTCACGTATGTTTATTTTCTGTGTGTAGCTGCTAGTTCTGTGTGACCTGCACTTGGCCCGTTGGGACACAAACTTACCGTAAAGATCCACATTTCTTCATTTATATAATAGCGTGGCGGACACAAAAACAGCCGTTTGACAGTTACTCCGCAGATTGCTACTCTCCAAGAAGACTTTAGGTTTTTAGGCTTCGGCTTATTCTTTTTAGACGTTACATCGGACTTGCTTTTTTTGTACCGGTATCTTTTTTCCCTAACCAGACGGGTGGGTATATTCGATACTGTGTTGCCAATTTGATACTGTCCTTCCAATTTGATACTGTGTTGCCAATTTCAAATTTGATACACTAATACAGTATTGCAGCCACCAAAAGATCATCTCGGAGATTACGAGTTTGACACAGGTAAAGCCTAGCCTCTACCAGGCTTCGGGAGGCGGCTGGAAAGAGTAGAAATCGGTCAAATAGAGCGACAAACTTTTCTCTCCAGCAGAGCAACTACACTGGCATGTTATCTCTCTATTTGGCCGATTTCTACTCTTTCCAATCGCCTCCCGAAGCCTGGCAGAGGCTAAGTAAAGCCTAATCTCCAAGCAGATCCCTCTCGGTGGCAAAAAGACAATATCAAATTGGCCAGGCAGTATCCATTAGCCAGAGAAGGTTGCTAGCCACCGACGGGTGGGGGTAGCGACCAAAAACGGCCACATATAAAAAGCTAACGATCATTCCCCCACAACCTCTGCTTGTAGTGTAAGTAAAGCCCCCAGTTTGCCGTATGCTAGCGGTGTGTCCGTGTTTAGGGGCGGGGCGCGGGCGTGTGTGCCGAAGGGAACAATATTGTTCCTCACACCGACACTAGCGGCAAGGCAAATAAACAAGCACCCCGCTGATCACACTGGGAAACTGATCTGGTCTTACACATCTCAGTACACACAAGCGAGAAGAAACCAACATTTTACAGTACAAGCATGGTCTTTATAAGTCAGTGTTACGGATATTTTATTTGTTTATTTTATGTATATAGTTACCAGTTCTAAACGACCTGTACTTTTGTACGTTTTGGGGCACAACGTTATGATAAATATAGTAGAACTTTCAGCCCTGTAGATTATATCATAAAGGTCTGCATCCACACAATTACAGTATTGTACATTACTGTATATATAGAAACTGAAGTCAGTATTACGGATATTTTATCTATGTTTATTTTCTATATACAGTTACCAGTTCTAAACGATCCATGTTCAGCCGTTTGGGGGCACAACGCAAAATTATATAGCAGAACTTTCGGCCCCATAGAAATTGTAAAGGTCTGTATCCATGGACACAATTTCAATCAAAACGTTTGTGTCTATCCTCGGTTTTCTTGATAAACTTCCTTCCTTCGCTGTGTTTGGGTTAGTTCCTGGTTTGAGTAGCCTCCGCAGCAGGCTTATAGAACTGGGGGTTTGGTGATCTTCGGCTGTTTTCTGATTAGCCCAGTTCAAAAAACGGGGATAATTCAACCAGGCCGGCTATGTTGCCTATATGCATCAGAAAATGGCACATAAAAGCTCCCAAAGACCCTGAAAACCCCCAGTTTTTGGCGTGCTATGGAGGCTCGGGTTGAGAATGTAGTTTGAGGCTGCTGGTATGTTGTGATGGATCGTGCGCGTGTCACGGTGTGTAGGGGGTTGGGTTAGGGTCGCGTGGCAGGGAGATAGACACACACATCTGGGGTGTTACACTAACTATAGCAACTATAACTCTTTATATGTCACACATCGCAAATACAAGCTAAACTACAACTTTAGTACACGACATGTTGGGTTGTTTCTACAGATGTTTGTAATGGTTGTTAGTTGTTTTTATTTCTGAGCTGTGCAGCTGAAGTTGTGTGAGTGAGTGTCGGGTGGAGGGTGTCAAGGGGGTATATATAGAAGCGGACATCCGATCCGCCGCCAGTTGTTTGTATGTGATATTCCCCGTTATACGCGCTGTCATTAACCCACATTTTACCCCGAAACGAAAATCTATGGCCCGGGCATTCCCCGTGCTAATACCGTTTTACACACACCGATTCTCTGTCTCCTATATAAAATACATCGTGCCGAAATAAAAACCTATATAATTATAAACCCTACAAATTACAACAATCTCTGCCAGTTACTCGCACTCGGTGTTACTGTTACTGTTAGAAGACTGACGGGTTTTTGGGATGAGAACTTTGCGGCCGTGTACAAATATTTGCGGGGCTATAGCGCTGCTTCCCCGGCCCTGGCTTCCCTTGCCGTCCCGTGTAGAGCAGGCATGCCGAGCCCAGACCTCTACGAGCCCGAGTCTCCACAGCATGCCAAAAACTGGAATCTTCAGGGTCTTTGGGAGCTTTTATGTGCCATTTTCTGATTGCATGTACACAACATAGCCGGCCTGGTTGAATTACCCCCGTTTTTTTTCAGAACTGGGCTAATCAGAAAACAGCTGAAGACCACCAAACCAAACCCCCAGTTCTATAAGCCTGCTGGAGGCTCCGCCAGGTCGTGGAAATGGCCGTATCTAATTTTTGATGCACGGTTTCGCCCCGTGTGACCCCGGGTTGCGTGACGTCACGAGCTGTCATGTAGCGCTGAGCGGCCGGGTGGTAGCCTCCTGTGCAGGCTCCGGGGCGGGTAGCTGATAATTTTGATACAGCGTTTTTAAAGCGTTATTTTAATAGCCGGCCATCCTACATAGCCGCCGAGAGAAGGTTCCATTCCTATGTAGGATGGCCAGCTGTTAAAATAACGCGTTAAAAACTCTACAAAACGCTGTAGCAAAAACCTTACCCGCCCCGGAGCCTGCACAGGAGGCTATCGGGTTGGTGGTTGACGGGGTATAACACAGCCGTGCGGAGCGAGCAGAGCTCACTTCTAGCGCGGTGCGTGGGACAGTGTGGTGTGTGCTCTACCGCTCTCTACAGCCAGGACTTTACCTACTACATACAACTCACTACAGCGCTACGGGAGTTACATACACGTACGTACGGGGTCCGTCTGTCTGCAAAGCACCGGCCCGCCTGGACTGTCTCCGCGGCTCGCCTCGCGCACAGGCCCGTGCACGCCCGGACTTACCTACGGTACGAGCTCGTACTGCAACCACCGGAGCGCCGGGAGTGAGCCGGCGGCGTGTACAAGCACACAGGCCCGACGGGGACTCGCGCACACCACGGTACGGCCAGGTGAGCTATACGGGGTTTTCTTTTCTCTCCTCAATCTCAGTTTTTCTGTAGCCTTGTTGTTGCACAGCGCAGAAAATACCGCCCGGGGGTTCCAGTTGTGCAGGGTTTGTTCTACCCAGCTGGTCGGACAAACACGCTCAAACACACGCACAAACAACCAGCCAGCTACCACTGCTACACAGCCAAACTTTTCTCCTTCCTGGTATAAAAGGAAAGCAGCTTGGCTTCTTTGTACCAAGCAGATGTGTATTGGCATTCCGATGCACGGCATTGTCCGCCGTCCGTGTAGGATTGTTATTTATCTGTTTTTAATAGGTTTTGCATGTCGCTGTGCTGATAGGAGGGCCGGTGAGCCGCCAGTGGGCCCTTGTCGCCGGGCCTGGGTCTTCTCTCTAACGTTACGGTACCAGTGAGCGCTAGGCTCTGCCGACCCAAGGTGCTGCTCAGCTCCATAGCATGCCAAAACTAGGGGGTTTTGGGAGACCTTGGGAGTCTTCAGGGTCCTTGGGAGCTTTTATGTGCTATTTTCTGATTGCATATAGACAACATAGCCGTTTTTTGAACTGGGAAGTGGGCTAATCAGAAAACAGCCGAAGACCACCAAACCCCCAGTTCTATAAGCCTGCTACGGAGGCTAGCAGCAGAGCTCTGGTGTCCCTTCTGGCAGTCTCTACCAGGCACCGCAGATCGCTGTAAAAATTGTAGAAATTGGCCAAAATAAAGGAAATACTATATTCAGGGGAGTTGGTCGGCCAGAGAGGGTACGTTTTGCTACCCACGGGGTATAGCATTCCCTTTATTTTGGCCAATTTCTACCATTTTTCCAGCGATCCGCGGTGCCTGGTAGAGACTAGTCCCTTAGCTGTGCGGGGTTGTAGCGCAGGATCCCCGGGCAGTGGAAAACAGCCCCAGGCCCTGCCGGGCTCTAAAGCCGGCTGAACAAGTCTTTAGAAAAACAACTCAAACATCTAACCAACAAACCTGACTACAGCCGTACACGACCTGTAGTTAGCAACTAGTTTAGTTTTGCAATGCCAAAAAATCTGTTTTCCCTGGTTTTGTAGTTGGGGAGTAGAAGAAAAGGAGGATCGTGTAAGTGATGAAATGATGTGGAAAGAAAACGGACCTTCTCTGTCTTCCCGAGCTGTCAGTCTGTTTGGACAGTGTGGGTTGTTTTTGCGAAGCCCCAGAGACCGTGTACTGTATTCTACTCTACTGTATTGCATGTAAAAACTGAGGTCAGTAGAACAGCAATTGTTTCCACTGCTGCATCTCAACAACCTATAACTTTTTCGCGTCTAAATTTCTTTTCTTTGAGCGCTGATTTCTGATTTTATCTCTTTTTTATCGGATTTTTTTAGCCAGTAAACAAACCGCAAAGTGGCTAGGTTCGGGTCACCACGTCCTCACGTCGCTACGTGAGAGAACCCTGACTTGTTCGAACTGTTCTGTAAAACCTGACAGAAAAATACCCTTACGCCAAGTTACGGAAAGTTCTTAGCTGAATCTTTATTTTAGGTAGCCCCCCAAAACTTACAAATTGTTTTCAGACCAGATTTCGGAGTCTCAGATGCAGAGGAGATATGTTTTTGTGAAGCCCCAGAGATCTAGAGACCGTGTACTGTACTCACGGTGTTCTACTGTACGGTATTGTATGCTAAAAACTGACCGTACAACAATTGTTACGGAAAGTTCTAAGCTGAATTTTCATTCTAGGTAGCCCCTTAAACCCTACAAATTGGGTTCAGACCAGATTTCGGAGTCTCAGAGGAGACTGTGAGTGTAGAGAAGTGTCGTAACAAGTTGCAACGACGGAAAACCTGTGGTGTCATGTTTTAGATTTGCAGTGGGTTTCGGGTGAAGGTGTTTTTTGTGCGTGTGTACAGGCTTGAGTCATGGTCCCGATCAGCTGGCCAGGGCCGGTGTTTTCCACCCATTGTGGCAGCCTGGCCAATCGTAGCGCTCCTCCCACTGCAGTATTGTTTGTGCTGTCATGTATGGGACTGTGTAAGGGTCCCCGAGGTTTACCCAACAAAACGCACTTCGAACCGGGCCTGTTTGCCGACCAATTTTCCCCGGCCAGGCCTGTTGATTCGGGGGCGCACGGAAGCCTATCACGGCCGCTAACGTGTGGTTGTTTACGCCGTACGGCCGCATTTTATCGTCCGGAGGTGTTAATCATTGAATTATCGACCTGCACGAGCCCGGCCAGAACCACCCCGGCCCGATCAGCTGGCGGGCTGCTGATTGGTCAGAACTTTAAGCAGGAGGTCGCGGCTCGCGCCGTGATTGGCTGGCAGTGATGTAATACGCGCGTGACGTCACGCGGGGTATATAAGGCGGCCCGGATCGAAGTGCGGACTGTTGTTGCCTTTTTCCTTCAACCCTTCATGTCGCGTTGGTTTCTGTCTGAAATCTTCGCCTTCTCTCCCCCTCCTGTTTAGACCAACGCTGCCAGAAGTGCTTCCCGACCGTAGACCGACCCCAGCCCGACCCGCACGGGACTTCCCGCCGACCGCCAGCACCTCAGCCCACCAGACCGCAAAACTTTTTCTTCCCCGGGACCGACAACCCGTAGGCTGCCACCATTGCGCAATAACTCCCCAGCTGCCAGCTGCAAGATGGCCGACCTGGTGGGCCCGAACCCAGACCTGCCGACCAGCCCGCTCGCCATGCAGTACGTGAACGACTTTGACCTGATGCACTTGGACGTGAAGCGCGAACTTGAGGAGGCAAGCCAGGCCAGCTGCATGGTGTCGGCTGCCGGGGTGGCGGCGAGCCTGTCCGGCGGCAGCTCGGTCTGCACCACGCCGCTGTCCTCGCCCTGCAGCTCCGTGCCGTCGTCCCCGGGGTTCGAGATCCCCAGCCCCGTGGACCAGAAGCCCAACATAGAGGACCTGTACTGGATGACGAGCTACCAGCAGCTGAACCCCGACGCGCTGAAGCTCACTCCCGAGGACGCTGTGGAGGCGCTGATCTCGTCTGCGGCGGGGTACGACTCCGGGTCGGCGGGGCCAGGCTGCGGGCAGCCCGGTCCTCACGCCCTCCCGGCGCCGCACGGACACCACCACGGCCCGCCCGGGCACGGCCACCCCGACGCCGCCGCCGACCACAAGCCGCACCACCACCATCACCACCACCCCGGCGCCGGACAGCCTCGCCCCAGGCTGGAGGAGAAGTTTTCCGACGACGAGCTCGTGTCCCTGTCCGTGCGGGAGCTCAACAGGCAGCTGCGAGGCTACAGCAAGGAGGAAGTGATTCGGCTGAAACAGAAGCGCAGAACGCTGAAAAACCGTGGGTACGCGCAGAGCTGCCGGTCCAAGCGGGTCCAACAGAGGCACCTGCTGGAGATAGAGAAGCAGCACCTTCAGCGCGAGCTGGACGACCTGCAGAAGAAACTGCGGGACACGGAGAAGGAGCGGGACGACTACAAGGCCAAGTTCGAGCGGCTCAAGTCCCCTCCCCCTCCAACCCCAGCAGTCCCGAGTACTACATGTGAGCCGCGCCGCGCCGCCGGAGGGGTTCGGAACACACCCGCACGGCAACGCACGCACTAACTAACCAACCAACCAACCAACGGACAGACGGCCGGAGCGACACACACGCACGAACGGACGAACTGACAGGTGAGCTGTCATGCCCCTACATGCCCCGCAAACTGCGCCCCCGTGCGGCCTGCCCAGAACTACAGGACACTTGTACTTTGGACTCTAGTTTATCACATAGTAACCTAACGCTGTACATACACAAACGGTGGGGACTAAACTCACTTCAGAACTTCCCCTTTTTGCTGGGAGTTAGACTCTTGGGGGCCGACTGTAGACTAAAGAGTTAGCTTTTTAATGTAGTAAAGAGAGAGAGAGAGAGTTTTTATTCAGACCAAGTCAGGATGATTTAGTGGCCCAAGCTGGCATGCCCACCACTATGCTTGTGTATACTGTACATAGCGGTCCCATATGGAAACGGGTACAGCAGGCGACCCCAAGGTTTCCAGGGCTATTCATGTATATCTGTTTACATCCGAGAACTTCTAAAAGAAGCTATGAGCTATGTCCAGCGCATGTCTGGATATGTAAGTACAGAGATATAGTGTGTATATAGGAATATCGTGGCTTTTAAACCAGCCGGCCAGATATGAACATGACAAAAGCGGGCTTGTCGTGACAGGACTCCAGTTTTAGCGTTGGTGATAAAAAAAATAGTCGACCGCTCCTAACGTCGCGATTTGTGACGGGAGCTGAACTTTCTTCCCGGAGTAACAAGGAAAGGCAACATCCACGATTCTTTGGAGGAAGAATTCATATAGTCTGCCGTGAAGGCGCATCAGCACGAAAAAAAAAGGAAAACAACAAAAAAATCGAAAAAGGACAAGAAAAAGACCCAAAAAAATGCCACCAGGTGAGAAACGAAGGCACTATTCAGTGTGAGGAGAGGGTCGAACACCTGGAACGGACGTCAAGACTCTCCCAACCAACAAACCGAAGAAGGTTCTTGTTGCAACTTCTGTACGTACGAACAGACTGGTTTTACCGACAGAGATTGATCGCACGCGATCGTGAACTCGTGCCTCGACACAACATATTACCATCGAAAAACGTTTTTAGCTCTCGACACACAACCTTCTGTCTCCACGATTCCATTGCCAAATGTCTGTGGTCCTCGAACGTTTCCCAGTTTTGGATGGGACATTTTGAAAGAGAAGAGAAAAACTATAATGAAAATAGAGTTCTATTAATTTGTGAAATGTTTTATGTTGTCCCCTTCTGTTGATCACATGTGACAGAGTTTCCAGTAATTGTAGCCGAAGCGTTCGGAGCTACTATTAAAAGCATGGAAAGACCTTTTATTTTTAACCCTGCTGTTGGTGATCTGTTCCTGTGTGTGTGTGCAGGCAGTCGGTAGGGAAACTGGATACTTGTGTTATGTGGTGTGCATGTTATGGACATCCTACACTCCTCAGTTGGACAGTTCAGCCAAGGGTTGCCTCAGAATTGGAACTGAAGTACTAAAATCTGAGAAGGGAATTTCGGGGAGTCATAATATGTTTTTTCTGTTCATGTTTAAGTGGTGTATTAAGTTCATATTTCGAAATTTGCAGATTGCACCACTTTTAAGATACAATATCATACAAAGATGTTAATTACGTACAAAAGTAACCGAAAATTACTTGTTTTCTCAGGTTTTAACAAATTTTAGGCGCTCCCTGAATTTTTCCTAAAGTTCTCTAAAATAAAATGAGAAAACACTTCTAACCCCGGACACTTCGCCCAGGCATGTTCTAAACTTACCCCAGCTGCCCCCCTCCCCCCAGTGACCTTGGGTTCACCTTGCACTGGTGATGCCCTGAGAAATGGCAGTAAAACAAGAATCACAACTTGTCAGGGCTTGTCTAGTCCCACACCCTACTCTTGTTTGAACATACCAGAAGCAAGTGCCCTGTTCCTCGTAAAAGAAACAACCAAAGGCACTTCTTCACTGAAAATTCCTCTGTTTCAAAACATGAAGTCCTTTAAGTTGTCAATATTGAGGCTCCAAAACTAGCAGAAAGTGGCCATATCACTGGGAATAATTCTCTAGTAGACCGGTACCCACAATATTATACTTACATGTTCTGAAAACCAATTTTCTGACAACCCACAACATACATTGTATGTCAGGAGGTTAGGTGCACCTAGCCTGGGTACCATCCTATTTGTATCATAGGGCTCTCATACTCGCTCCGCAAGAAATTAGGGAAGGAGTGCTTAGTAGTTACAGCTCCAGGCTAGGCTGGGCTTAATCTCCAAGCAGATCCCTCTCGGTGGCAAAAAGACAGTATCAAATTGGCCAGGCAGTATCCATTAGCCAGAGAAGCTCCGCGGTCACCGACGGTGGGGGTCTGGACAAAAAAAAACCGGCCATATATAAAAATGTAACGATCATTCCCCCACAACCTCTGCTTGGAGAGTAGGCTGGGCTACCAAGTTATACATGTATATACTAGTAGTGTTAAAGCCCTGTTGGGCAGAAAGTAGCCCAGTTGGGCAGAAAGTAGCCCTGTGATGTCTGGGTTCCGGGCTAGCCCCAGGCTATAGTTTAGAGCCCAGCTGAACAGAAGGTAGCCCTGAAATGTCTGTGAGCCAGGCTAGTGTTAAAGCCCAGCTGGCCTGTGATGACAGGTTGGCGTGTTGCCAGGATCAGCTGACCTGGGATCAGGGCCGCTCTAACCAACAGGCACAATCTGGGAGATGCCAGGGTGTCAATATGTCTAACCTGTGTACAGATATGGTACAATGGTTAAACATGGGGGAACCACAACAGAGCAACGGTTTAAACTATGGTACACTCGGTGTTACAAACTAAGATACACTCAGTATACATCCTCAGTGGTACAAACTATGGTACACTCAGCCTTACAATCTGGGAGATGCCAGGGGTGTCAATATGTCTAACCTGTGGGACCATGCAGTGTACAGATATGTTACATGGTTAAACATGGGGAAACCACAATACTCAAGAGCTCAAACTATGGTACAGCCAGCGGTACAAACACTGGTACAAGCTACGCTTAAGTCCAATCACACGCAGCAAATGTGTTTTCATAGTGACTCAGTGGAAAGCTCTAGATGAGAGAACTTTTTGTGTTGGATCCAAAGTTTTAACTCTAAACATGTAACTACCAACACAGATGAACTTTCATGATAGTGATTTTATTTAATTTTCTAAAGCCCTCCCCCTCTTGCTGAAGCTCAGTTCAAGTGTATGACTGACAGCCACACAAACAGCCATATGCTCTGTGTACAGAGTTGTAGATCCTGATCCACCCCTGGGATCACAGATCTCTCCTGGGGTCACAGATCTCTCCTGGGATCCCAGCCTGATCCCAAACAGTCAACAGCACTGAGTATTTATGGATAAAGTTAGGACATAGCCTTACAGCACATAGCTATACAGGCTGTCTTCCTACACCAGAACGAACCTTATGAGCTTAATTTCTAGAGGCCCATACTTGTTTTTTATGAGTGGGGTAACTTCTTTTTGCTAGAATGCTGTAATCTCCAAGCAGAGGTTTGGGTTTTGGCTTATTTTTGGCATGTTTTAAGTGGACCTCAGTTGGTGTAAAAAAAGTGCAAAAAAGAAGGCCTGATAAAAAAGCCTAAAACACTCCCAAAATAAACCAAAACCCCAAAACCTCTGCTTAAAGCATGCTCCCCTCGATACTGTATTACCAGTACAGTTCTTCCACTGAAATGAAACCGCTGTGCTCACAGAAGCAAGCCCAAGCTGCTGTAAAAAGTCTGCACAGGAGGCTAGGATGGAGCCTGCTGAACTGTGGGCGGAAAAACATGTCATAAACCTGCCCGGACACGTTGACCCCTGTACAGGGCAGGGTAGCTCCAAGCAGATACACGGTGGCTGCGGAGTGTCTTTTTGCTGCATTTTCTACAAGTACAAGTCTGTAGTGGTTCACCTTTTCTGCAGAGTATAAACATCTAAATAAACAAACAAACAAACAAACAAAACCACCGAAAAGACACTCATAATGTTTCAAATGCAGAATCATCCCCACGTCTGCTTGAAGTTGGGGTCAGTGCAGGTCAGTGCTGGTTGCCATGGTTACGGGCTGGGTGGATCGGATGACAGCTCGGGGACAGCTGGCTACACAGAGGAGCCAAATTAAGAAATACGAGGGATTATTATGACAGGTCCCCTCTTCATTCTGCCCAGAATAAACAACCAACATGATGCTACTGTAAGGCTATGTATTTTCTCTGTGGAATATTTGCAAGAAATTCTCGGATTGCCACTGAAGACTACTACTCACTCAGTATTTTCTCCAAACAGATCTGTCGGTGCATGGAGCTTGATATGGCTGCAAGACAGTATGAAGTTGGCAAGACATTATCATTGGCAGGGCAGTAACCAATATACCACAATTTGACTGGTGAAAACAAGATACCAGTAAAAAAAAAAAGAAATCCTGATAAAAACACCTAAAATTAGGTAAAAAGCCAAAGCTTAAACCTCTGCGTGGAGAGTAAGACTTGTAATCATGTTTGCAAATGGCATAATTCACCAAAACTTTATTTCTTTATGGCTTTCTAGAAATCCAGACCATAAACAGTAAGTAATATTCCCATAGTACACGTCACGGTAAGATTGTCTGCCAGATCTTCCCAGCTTTTTGAGTACCAGGAAAACAAAAGAACAGTCCTAACCATAGAGGACAGCCTTTCCCTGGGGAGTCTTCTGTTTTTCTTCAAATCTCCAAGGAACTCAGAACAACTCCTTATTCCTCTGTCCTTCTGTTCAGGTCTCCTCAAGACTGCCTTCAGATATCCATGCTCTGAAGTTTTTTCTGACTTCACTCCGCTGAACGCAAGAAAACTGTACCAAACTCTTCCTGCAGAAGTGTTAGGAAAATAAAGAAAAGCGTGTGTTTGCAAACATGTTGACTGACAGCGTAGCCCTGTGCTGGGCTGATGTCCCCTGGGAGCTAATCTGGCCGTGTTAGAGCTCAGTGGAGCGTGCAGGGCTCATGAACTGGAACCGAAACTGCTACAGGAACAAATGTTGCTACTCTCCAAGCAGAGGTTTGGATTTTGGGCTTGTTTTTCGCATGTTTTTAGGTTTTTTTATCGGCTTTCTTTTTTGCACTGGTATCTTCTTTTTTTACGCCAACCCAGAGCAAAAAAGAAAGCCTGATAAAAAAAGCCTAAAAACATGACAAAAATGAGCCAAAACCCAAACCTCTGCTTGGAGAGTAAAATGTTGCTTCAGTACCATCAAATACTTGTATACAAATATATTCAACAACAAAATCAATCGATTGGACTTAAAATTTGATCAGTAAATGATTACTATATAGTGGGCCCACTGGCTGCTGAATAAAGCAGTCCAACACCCCAGGTATCTAATCTCCAAGCAGATCTTTTCTGGTGACCAAACACAGCATTGGCAAAGAAGATACTGGTACAAAAAAAGAAAGCCTGATAAAATGCCTGCAAATGTGTCAAACATAACACAAAGCCTAAATCACTACTTGGAGATTGTGTGTTGTGTAATTCTGATAAAGATCCACCAGGCTCGATCCACCATACTGAGTCCCTCCATCCACTTCCATAGTCTGGTTCCGCTTATGTTGTTTGGCTTTCATCATAATCACCAAACTGGAACCAGGCCCTTTAGGGAGGCTGCTGGAGGCTATAGGGGCAGAGTGGTGACAGACTGGGACAAACATAGCCTCCAACAGGCTTCTTAGGGCTGGTAATTTGTTGCTAGACTGGATCAGTGTTTGGCATATCAATTATCAAAGGGGATGAAAGCTCCTTGGTAAACCATAATACTTTTTTTCTGTTGAATAATGCAAAATAAAAATCCTTCTGTTCTTTGAAGATCAGTAGAGTGATTTTTTTTTACAGCTGGAGAGAAGTTTAGACTCCTAGTCAGCTTTTGGACAACTTGTCTGTCTGCCAGCCCAGCTGTGTTGGGTGTTTATCAAGTTATAACCTTACATCCTGATTTTCATAACATCCTATACTAAAGGCTATAGTGAGCAACAAGCAACAGCCACTGTGAGTTTGACAGAGTCAAGGACTAAAAAACAAACAAACAAAGAAACCAGAAGTGGCCGGACATTAGTACCAAACAAAACAACTGCGCGCCTGTCCTGTCCCGAAGGACCATGAAATTGCAGTTATTAAAGCGTTAGAGTCATTATTGTGATCGCCGCAGCTATTATCCACCTTTTCTCTTCAGTCCAGAACAGGTAATGGATACAGATGCCTGACAGGTATATCAATCAATCAATCAATCAATCAATTAATCAGTAAATCAGTCAGTCAATAGTTTATATTCTCTGCTATACTTGAGT